AGAAACACACTAGCCTGTGTGATCAGGAGGTGCCGAAAGGATCAGTTATCAGGCATCAAATTTTTTTAATTGAATACTTTTATTAGGGGCTCTTACAGCTTTTATCATAATCCATTGTGTCAAGCACATTTGTACATATGTTGCCATCATCATTTTCAAAGTGTTTTCTTTCTACTTGAGGCCTTGATATCAGCTCCTCTCCCACTCTCCCTCATGAACCCTTGATAAATTATAAATTATCATACATTGTTTCTTATATAACCTAGTGGTCTAGGCTGGGATAAGGACAAGGCAATGTGGAGCGTAAGATACAATATTTAAGGAGACACATTCACTCCTAGGGTCCCTAAGTGCTGACATTATATTCACATGCTCCAGAAAATGAGCACCTCCTTAACTGAGTACCTTCCTAGAGATTGTATAACCTAACCTCAGTCTGGCTATCATTTTATTTTACATTATTTTACTCAGGTATCTGCAAAACTTAACAACAACAACAAAACCCAAACAACTAGGTACCATAAATACTCATGTATAAGCTGAGTATTTTTCAGCATGTTTTAAATGTAGTTTTTGTGGTAAAATTAGGTACCCTGGCTGATATTTGGGTTGGCATATACTCGAGTATATACAGTAAATCATGCATCTTAATTAAACTCTTCATTATTAACACATGAAGATAAAACTGTTACATTACTCTTTGAAATGCATCCAATATAACTTAATTTCACAGCAATGTGTTATCTACTACCATCCCTTTCTAAAAACTAAACTCTTCTAAAACAAAGAAAAATTTGCATCTCTATTTTACTTTTCCAACATTTTAAACCAATTTAATGTCTTGTTATCCTTGTTTAAAAGTCTTCCATATATTCTTTATCCTACCTTTATAGACAATGTATAATTTAGCTTAAATTAAAATTCCCAAATGTATTGTGCATTCAAGTGTTATTTTCCTAGTATTGACTTATCATAAGTACAGAAATCACCAAAATAACATAATTACATTTTAAGTATGTGTATATAAAAATAAAACTTTTTGAAAAAAGCTGATGGTGCCCAGCTATCAAAATATATAGGGCCTGTGGTCATTATCTCAGAAGCAACAAAGCCCACAGGGAAGAAGCACACCGGTCTGGGGGACCATGAGGTGTTGATGGGATCAGGTACCAGACATCAAGGAACAAAAATCCTATCATTGTGAATGAGGGGGAGCGCTGAGCGGAGACCCAAAGCCCATCTGCAGGCAACTGGACATCCCCTTACAGAAGGGTCACAAGAGAAGACGAGCCAGTCTGGGTGCAGTATATCAACGATGAAACATACAACTTTCCTCTAGTTCCTAAACGCTCGCGCCCCCTCCCCATTATTATGATCCCAATTCTACCTTACAAATTTGGCTAGACCAGAGGATGTACACACAGGTACAGATAGGAACCGGAAACACAGGGAATCCAGGACAGATAAACCCCTCAGGACCAATAATGAGAGTAGCTATACCAGGAAAGGAAGGGGAAGGTGGGGTCAAAACGGGGAACTGATCACAAGGATCTACACATAACCCCCCCCTTCCTGGGGGGCAGACAACAGAAAAGTGGGTGAAGGGAGAAGTTGGACAATGTAAGACATGACAAAAATAATACTAATTTATAAACTAACTAGTGTTTGGGGTGGGGAGGGAGGGGGAAAAATGAGGAGCTGATACCAAATGTTCTGAGAATGATGATGGCAACAAATGTACAAATGTGCTTGACACAATGGATGTATGTATGGATTTTGATAGGAGTTGTACGAGCCCCCAGTGAAATGATTTTTAAAATAATAATAATAAAAAAATAAAAGTTGACCGGTAGTGGCTCCTATCTGTTCTGACAGGGATTACATGAGAGTAGAGTGGGTGATTTTGAACAGAGTTGCAATAAACATTTATTTACAGGTTTTTATAGGGTTATAATGTATCATTAATTTTTTTAAAAAGTATCATTATTCTACAGTCAATACCCTGCAATGAATGGCTTTGTCTTGTGTTAAGTACACAGTGATTGCTAGAAGATGTTATAAAAGTTTAGAAGGAAATTATTTTCCAGAGAGGCTGAATCATTTTGGACCACTTTGCATTTCCATGTTTAATACATGAGCGTACTGGTTGCTCTCCTTATATTTTACAGATTAAAAAAAACTAATGGTAGCAAAGTTCATGAAAAAACAAACAAACAAACAAAAAGCATAATAAGATTAGGTTATGAAGTCATCTTCCATGTCTATTAACATTTAATACACTCAAAAGTTTTTAAGAATTTAACAAATATAGTTTTGAAAAACTCACCCTTTCTGCTTCAAAGGTAATTCAAGTTTAAATATGGTAGCATCATTAACAACTGCTTTGTATGCCTGAAAATAAGTTAAAATACAACACAAGCATTATTTTCAGTATTTAAATGCAAAGAATTGTTATACTTACAAAATTCATTAGAATATGTTAATTTTAATTTTTAATTGTGCATTTGGCCTGATAAAAGTCATATGCTGTCTTTCTCCTAGCCAGTTTCATATCACCTCCCTTCTCCTCAAGTCTCTATGACTCCCTGGCCTTGTGCACGCTCAGCTGATGTAGCTCCTATTCCACAGAGAAAACAAACAGGAGAAGCTCCACAGACCACCACCCAGCTACCTGCGTCTGTGCCATCTTCTGCATCCTCTCTTGTCATCATGGATAACTATTCTTCATTCAAAGCAGAAAGCAGCCCTTCTACTGAAATTGAGATTTCATTCTTTCTTATCAACATAACTCCTTCTTTTTCTTGCATTATCAGTTTACCAACTTCCATTCATCCACCTTCAGTTATTGCCTCATTTTACTCCCTTCCTTTAAGATAAACTACTTGAAGAACAATCTATCTCATTGTCTTCAACTTTTGGTTTGCCATTCTTACCAGCAACAGTCATGCTTTCAGATCACTATCACCGCGACCCACCCCGCCTCAAATGGTCCGGTCAAAATCACCAACACCCTTCGTGTTGCTACACACCATAGCCGATCCCCACATACGCTCCCGAGGGGCAGCAGCATACATACACTCCTTGGGAAGATACTTCCTACTTGTTTTCCTTTCCTGGTTCCCCTTCATCTTTTTGACAGCTAAATGTTAAAGTGTTCTAGGACAACTTTTGAGTTTTTCTCTTTAATACATGTACTTATTACTTTGGTTACTATATCTAGTCTCTTCAAATCCCATCTCTATATGCTGATGCTCCCAAATTTAGCTTTCCAGGCCCACTCAAACTATCTTTAAAGAAACAAACAGATATACTAGCATATAATTTACATCTCATATAATTCAATAGTTTAATCCTATTAAGAGTTGTGCAAGCATCACTACAATCAATTTTAGAACACCTTCTTCATTCTTGTACTGTTATTAACTTCCCATTGCCCCCAATTTCACCTGCCATACAACCAAGAAACCATTAGTTCAGTTACTGCCTCTACAGACTTACTACCTATCCTAGATTTCACATATAGAAAAAACATTAAAACAAACAAACCGAACAACAATAAAATGGAGAAAAACTTCAAAAGAAAATATTAAGAACCAGACCCATGTTAAAATGGTTCAAAAGGGAGATCAAATGATAAGGTATTAACTTTTAACCTAACTGCATTTCTAATACACTCCGCATGATCACATCCCTGGTCTATGGTCAGAGGGAATAAACCCCAGCCTCAATCCATGTGCATTTCCTCACCTTAAAAAAAAATTTTTTTTTAACTAAAACTACTTTAAAATGGGTCAAAAGGAAGATCAAATGGTACTATTCCATGTTAGTCCAACTATATGTGCCATAATTGACTTTTCAGTGCTCTCTGTCTGAAAACAGGGCTATTCACATCCCTCGATTATGGTCAGAGATTTAACTCCAGTGTGGCAAATGGATTTTGGGCTTCCACTGGCATCCACAACAAACCAGGTGTTCAAAATCATTCAAACTCGTATAATCCATACCCAACACTTTCACACAGATGTTTAACAGAGATTTCAAATTTAACACTGAAAATTGAGTTCCTAATTGCTCTTGGACCATCTACCTAAAATCCACTTCTTTCAGTCTTTCCCATCTCAGTAAACGTTTCCTTCCAATTGATTAGAACCAAATCATGACTGGTTTCTTTCTATCACATTCCACATCTGATTTATTAGCAGATCCTGTATAATCTATTTTTATAACAGAATCAGATTTCAACCACTTTTGAATACCTCTACCTACTATCACTCCAGGTCAATCCTCCATTGTCACTTTACTGAATTATTTAAATAATTTCTTAACTCATATTATTTCTTCTTCTTTAACACCCTTCAGTCTATTGTTTTTTGTTTTTCAAATAAATCATTTTATTGTGGACTCCTAGTCTTTTTTTTTCTTACAGCTCTTCTAACAATCCATACAACCATTGTATCAAGCACATTTGTACATATGTTGCCATCATCCTTTTCAAAACATTTTCTTGAGCCCTTGGTAGTAGCTCCTCTTATTTCCCCCTCCATCCCTCCACCCTCATGAACCCTTGATAAATTATTAATTATTCTTTTCATATCTTACACCATCTACTCTCTCACTTCACCCATTTTTTTGTTGTTCACCACCCTGAGGGGGTGGGGGTTATACGTTGATCATTGCGATCAGCCTCCCCACCCCTTTCTCTCTCTACCTTCCCCCTATCCTCATGCTATAGCTACTCCTATCACTGTTCCTGAGGGGGTTAATGTGTCTAGATTCCCTGTGTTTCCAGCTCTTATCTGTATCAGTGTACATGCTCTGGTCTAGCCGGATTAATAAGGTGGAACTAGGGTCAAGACAGTGTGTGGGGGAGGAGCATTAAAGAATAGAAAGATGTCGTATGTTTTACCAGTACTATACTGCACCCTGGCTGGCTAATCCCTTCCTCGCGACCCTTCTGTGAGGGGCTGTCCAATTGTCTGCAGCTGGGCTTTGGGTCTCCACTTCGGCCTCTCTCATTTGCATCAGTCCATTGTTTGTACAGCAGCCAAGCAGTCATATTAAAATGTAACACACGTCCAGCTACTCTGTTCAAAAATTTTCAGGGACTTCCCATTCTACTCACAAAGTAAAAACCAAAAACTCTACCATGGCTTACAGAATCTTACATGATCTGGCCTCTTGCTAGCTCTCTAACTTAATTTCCCACCGTTCTTCCCCTTGTCTGGTTACAAAGACCTTTTCGGTTGTTCCTTACACGTGACAATTGTATTTCGGCATTGGAGTTTTTGCATCTCTTCATCCCTCTGTTGGGAACACTCATTCCACCACCCTTAACTCCTTCTCTAATATTAACTCCTAATCTAACTCCTTATATTTAAGTAAACATACAGTGAAGAGAAGAAAGGGAAAGCAGGGGAAGCCTACTGGGGAAAGTGTCCTGTCTCCTTTTTAAAACATTTTTAAAGGGGGAAAATTAATGAGGAGCTAATTCCAGGAACCCAAGAGGAAAGCGAATTTGAGAATGATGAGGGCAACAATTGTATAAGTGTGCTTTACACAATTGATATCTGTATGGATTGTGATGAATTGTATGAGCCCCAATAAAATGATTTAAAAAGGGGGGGGATTAGTGTTAATTTCTAGTGATAAGTTTGGCATTTAAAAAGATATGACTCAAAGCAGCCATCTAGGTGAGGTGTCAGATAAGGCCACATGGAAGAGGCATATCATCCTGTGTTATCTAAGAATTGTAAATAAAATCCAAGAGAAAGAAGGGAAGTGTATTCAAGCTTAAATTCTGAGCACCCATTTTGCAAAAGACTATGGATGACAATGAATGCCAAAATCTATTTGTGGACTCCCAACAAGGATGAGAGTAGTCGGAGTACATCAGAAAGTGCATCAATGCAGATATAGGAAGGTTAAAATTTAATATTATAACACTTGTTTTCCCTTTAGCCCATTCTTAATATGTTCTATTTTAAAATTTATGTTCTGCTTTCTTTAGGATTAAAAAATGTAAATAATGTCATTGAACAAGTTACATAGAAATTGTTAAATGAAAATCTAATTTATCATGTGAACTTCCACTGAAAATACCATAAATTTTTGTTGTTTGAAATGAACTTATTTGTTCATTAAAGACTCCAGTTGAGGAAAAAAAAATAAAATAAAATAAAAAGATCTGCCTCTAAGGATAATACTGTTTCATTAACACTGGCCCACTTCTGAGAATGGGTAAAGAGATGGCATTCAATGCAAATGCCAGGCACTTGGAATAAAAGTATCAATGAGGCCTTAGAGAGAACAGAGGAGGGAAAAAACCAGCACCACTTGCGATCGGCTGTATATCAAGGAAGTTCCCAGATAAGTGTATTTCAAGTTCAGTCTTAGAGGAAGGATGACTAAGAATTTAATAATAATAATAACATTCAAAACCAGGAAGACATTCCTGAAAAAACGGAAAAAGAGAACAACTTTTTGGCTAAATTCTACATCATAGGAATACCAAATACATACAGGCACATACATCAAACTCAATATAATAAACATAGCTGCCCTGGGGAAAAATGAGTTGCTGGGTTTTTAATCTGATATATAGGATGCAAAATTTCTAATTAAAAGCACATTTTGACAGTAACACTTTCAATTCAAAGTGTTGATATATAGGAATACATACCTTATCTCTTGCAGTAAGAAATCGTGGATCATCTTGAAAAGCTTCTTTGACGAGTTTACTAAATCTATTAAATAGTGTAAGTAACTGCTCAACATATTTCTCAGAGTCCTAGAAATAAAATGCATTATATTCAACTGAGTTTTAAAAGAAAAATAGTCATACAAAGAAAATTGAGAAAATATAAATAAATGTTTATGAAGAATTCCTTTTTAAAATTAAAGTGTTTTAATATTGCTGTTTTGCTATTTCAATTACTATTTTAAATACTCGATCTTGCATTTGGGTATTTAAAATAGCAATTGAAATAGAAAAAAGAAGAAAAGCTTTGATATACATTCAGCATTGCCACTGAAGAAAAAACTTACAGTAGTAATAGTTTCAGCAGCTGCTACCATATCTGCCAGGCCAGCACTAATAATATGCTCTTCCAAGTCTTTCAACATTGGTTCTATCCCATTAGGAACTTTGTCCATCAATGAAAACATCAAATGTAATTCTGGAAGGATATAACGCACGCATGTAATTATTTTATCCACAAAATAAATTTTCTCCCATTAATCTCATATGTCTAGAATGTATAGAGTAGTTAGAATATTCAAATGGTACTTTTGTAGGTCCCGCTGGTTTAGAAGTTGTTATAGTTAAACAGGACTTCCTGGTCTACCTTTTCAGTTTTGAATCAACTACAAGAATCAGGGGAGAAATACTGTACTTTTAATTTTAAGAAGTAAAAATGTTTACAAAGAAGATTAGTACATGTCATAAAGCATTTCCTCATATGGTATCCCATTTAATTCACCTTCACAAAAACCTACCTCACAGTATTGGTTATGACTAAACTCTTTTGAAGAGGCACTACTTTTGAGTTGTATGGAAATTCAATGATTTTAGCTAAACAAAAGAGCACTTTGATTTTTACTATGAATTACTCCTAAAGTGTAAACAAATTTAAGAGAATTAACAGGCATACCTTTAATGCAACTAGAGATTTACTGCGAGTCTGTCGTTAGGTATAATAAAATCTGGAGAGACCTATATTAAAATGTTATGTTGGGGTAGTGGGAATAAGTATAACTTTTATTATATTCATTTAGTTTTTTTCATCTCTAAACAGTATCTTTATTAACATGTATATTTATGCAATAAAAGAAATACACTTCAGATCTTAAAATGCAAAATTTGGGTATGTGTGTAAGAAGAAATGTGCATTATTAACATAAAGCATATGATTACTTTCTAAAATGATTCACTGTAAGGTTCTATATAAATTTCAAATGTCTCATTCTACTATACAGCATGTGTTTACTTGGCCTTTAAAATCAAAGCTCTACTTTTAAGGAAAAAATAATAATACTTGTATCTAAGGGGGAATTGTTTAAAATAAATTTAAAAGTAGTGATTATAACTGTGCTAAATACTTTATCACAGCCTTTAAACATAGCCCACTTTAAGAAATAGGCTTATGTATCTAACAGCAATTTATTAAGGAGTTGCTTCAAAGATACCCCCTCAAAAGATTAGATAACTGCATGTGATGTTTTACCTACTTTCAGTTTCATTTCTCTTGATCATGCCTTGGCACTCTGCTAAGATAGTCTCTTTAAAGGATGTCACCAGGGCATTTACACAGCATTCCATTAGCTGAAAGATATTAAAAATTGGTCAAGACCACTATAAGTTTTATAGCAGAAGTCCATTTCAACTCATAAAATAAAAACCAAATTGTTCAATAGCAAGAAAAATCTAAATATCCTAATGTAGACTGTACTTACCTGTACTAGAGAGCAGTTGAAGCTGAACAGTTAAGCTGAATGTTAGGCCTGTTTTGGGAAAAAGTCATTGCATTTAAGTTCTCTGTAAATTTTTTAAAAAGCTTCTGAGATTAACTTTTCCTATTTGGACAGAACCCGTGATAGAATTAAATAACAAAATTCTAAAAGTATGAGTACATTCATTCAACAAAACACTATGGGTGCCTACTATGTGTGAGCACTAAGAAGGACTTAATAGACAAAGAATAGGAATTCCTATTCTTGAAATTCCTGCTCAACTGAGGATGTGAAGGAAGCAAATGCATCCAACAATACACAGCAAACAAAGGAACTACTATTTAGAGTAAGCAAAAAACTTCAATGTTGATATCTAAATTGTACTTTGAAAGGTCAGAACAAGTTCTCAAATAAAGAGTATTTGGGAACAATAAGTTGTGCTTTACACAGTTGATGTATATATGGATTGTGATAGGAGTTGTATGTGTCCCTAGTGAAACGATAAAAAAAAAAAAAAAATGTGAAACAAACAAATAAAAAGAACTCAATTTCCCATCAGGCTCGTAAGATCAAAGCTGATAAAGTCAATTTTATGGAACAACAACAAAAAAGAAGTTGATATGATGGGGAAGAGACAGTGACGAAGTGTGCTGGAGAATGATTGTGAATGAAAAGCCTATGCTTTGGGACTTTATTTTACTGACAGAAAATGAAGAACCAAGGGTTTTTAAACTTTTCCTACCTCCAAGCTATTTTTAAAAGACCAATCTAATGGTATTAAGGCAGGTGATAGGAAGGGAGGGAGAATGATAAAGGAGGATGTGGAAACAGCCAACTAAAATAGAAAAAGCCCAATATTCTAGGAGACTCTCAAGAAAATGTTCCATATGGAGTACATGGCATGCAACAATGTTCTCTTCTTGCAGGCATCCTAAGTCTAGGAGGATTGCTACAAGGTACAATACCTTTCAAAGCCCCTTACACACACTAAGTTATGGCTACATGTTCACAACTAAGTTAAGTCTTGTAAGGAATAGAGAAATATAAAGGATGGTTAATACCACCCTCTTATGATAATCTAATTGGGATCACTACCTATCTAAAATGTGTACATTCTTCATATGCACAGCAGTATATGAAAAGATCAACTTTACCAAGAAGCATGTGAAAATAAATTAATCACTATGCTGTGAACATCATAAAGATAGGGAATGTATTATACTCTCAACTTCACAAGAGTAAGTAAAAAAGTACGGCTACAAAATTATTGAAATCGTTATTACAAAAAATTTATAAATGGTAAGTTGTTTCACAATATATTCTACACCTAGGTCTATAAAATTCTGATGATTATTTTCATTTTTCTAATGTCTATGAAGAATTCTGCAGTCTCTGATTTACACCAAATCAAAACGTGTTTTGGCATCCATCCTTAAGACTCAAGTCATGTTGCTTTTCCAATGTTCTTCGGGTTTGGGGAACAAAGAGAAGCCTGAAGGGCGAGCAGCACTACAGGGTAGATGGGGTAATGTTTCTTTTAGGACAAGGCCTTGCTATGCATAAAGAATGAACAGGTGCATTATGATGACAGGGGTGGGGGGTGCGGGGAACTCTGGCACAACTTCCCAGGCCTTTTTCTCACCAGTAGTTTTGTTTTCTTAAAACTTTACTGAGAATACTTTAAAATCATGTAGTGACTATCAAGAAAATTAATCAAGACTACCTTTTTGAATTCCCAGTAATCACCATAACCTTTGTGCTCACCTCTCTGCTAGGAATTTAACTAGCCTGGCAGATTCTCTTGGAAACTACTGTTTTGAGTGGATCTTTTTTGGGGGGAAACTCACTAACCAAACAAAGACAATAAATTACTGAAAGAACTTAGCTGCAGCCATCCACTAATTGCAGAGACATGTTTAAAAATGTTTTGCTTGGAATAAACCCAATTGTGTATGAACTAGAACTCAAGTAATAGGAATATCTGACTTATGCTTCTACATGTACATGGAGCCCTGGGGGTATAGTGGTACTGAATTGGGCTAAAATCTGCATGGTTGACAGTTTAAAAACTACCAGCAGCTCTGCAAGAGAAAGACTGGGAGTTGTACTGCCGTGAACAGTTACAGTCTTGGAAACGCACAGGAGCCGCCGAGTCAGCAATGACTCAATGGCAGTGAGTTCTGAGTTTTTCTAGTACACGCATGGCCCCACATAAAGTTGGTGCTTGATAAGTTACCACCGTGAATTGATTCTGGCTCATAGAATCAGAGGAAAAATTATGCTCCACATGATTGTCAATGGCTGATTTCTCGGAAGTTATCCACCAGGCCTTCTTGTGAGGTGCATCTGGGTAGACTCTAAACTTCTAACCTTTAGGTTAAAAACCCAGCACATAACTCCATCTCTTATTAGACATCAAGAACTAAAATCAGAAACCACCACTTGTCAGTCAGTTTGTTATATTGTGGTTTGTGTTGTATTGCTATGACGCTAAAAGCTAAACTACTGGTGTTTCTAGTATCAGCAGGATCATCACTCATGGTGGACAGGTCTCAGTGGAACTTCTTGACTAAAACTAAGTGGGAAGAAAGACTTGCAAGCTGACTTCCCCAAATCAACAGGAGAAAACCGTATGATTCATACCAGCACTGTCTGCTATAGTGCTTAAAATACACGATGGCCACAACCAAGGACGTTATGTATACCAGGGGCTGTGGAGAAGGAACAGAATTGGGTGTCATTTTGTTCTGTTGTACATGGGCTCATTACAAGTTGAAGCCAACTCAATGGCAACTAACAACAAAACTAACAATGAAAGTGATGTATTAAAGGTAGCCTGAACTCACACGCACACACACAAAAGGGTGGAGGGGAATACATATAGCCAGTATTATGAATAATGAATAAAGATTAACTTCTGTTAACGGTGATGGAAAAATTTAAGAACAGTTAATGCTATTAATGAACAACATGACTAATACAATGTCACTGAACTGCACATATGAAGACAGTTGAAAGGGAAAATGCTTTGCTTTTCCCTATATTTATAGTAAAAACTCATGTAATAAAGATGTACAGTCCCATGAATAATTTTCTAGTGTACATTAAAAGAAATTTAAGTACATGTGCTGCCGAAGCGAGCACACATTAAAAAAAATGTAAACACATCACATGGACAGATTGCCCAATATTAAAAGGCTCAAATATCACAGTTCTGCAAAGATATGCATAAACCAAGAGATAGTTGATGGTAGTAAGAATTACAGTATTTCTGGTGGTCACTTTGTTAAGATTGTAAAACATTCATACTCTTTGTTTCATCAATTGCATTTCCAAGAAATTAGTCAAAAGAGAAAGTCAAATATGAGAAAAGATGCATGCACAAAACAATCAAACACACTGCCATCAAGACAATTCCACCTCGTAGCTACTTTTTAAGACAGAGTAGACCTGTCCCTACTGGGTTTACAATACAAAGCTTTACGGACAGGCTCATCTTTCTCCTGCACAGCAGTCGGTGAGTTGAACTTGTATTTAGCGGTCCCGGCATGCAGCCTCTTGTCACCAGTGTCCAAGAATGCACAGGATGTTGAAATGATGCAAACATTGGACGGTAAGTAAAAATCTATTGCTACAAGGGTTCCATCCATGAGTTTATTCCAAATAAACCAGGTTTAAACATGTGTCTGCCAGTCTGTGGATGGCTGTACATACGTTTTTTCAGCAATACACTTGTCTTCGTTTGGTTAGCGAGTTCCTTCAAAAATAAAATAGATCCAATCCAAACAGTGGCTTCCAAGAGGATCTGTGTGACCAACTCTATTCAAGGCAGAGGTCAGCTCAGAAGGCTATGGTGACTGTGGGAATCCAAAGGGGTAATACTGAGTTTTCTTAACGGCCCCAGGATAATTATGAAGGATTTGTATTCATTCCCCTGGGTGAAAAAAGTGCCAGGAACGTGTGCAAAGGAATTCTCTCCCCATCATGACAACACACTTGCTCATTCTTTATGGACACCAAGGACTGTCGCAAAAAGAATTGGGAAAACCTATCCCATCCACCCCACAGACCTGATCTTGCCTTTTTCCCCCAACAGTTTTATTGGTACATAACTTATGTATCATACAATAGTTTAATTGTTCAATCATATCAAGCAAAACTGTACAATAATTACCACATCAATTTTAGAACACCTCCCCCTTCCACGGTTAAATCGCCTTTACAATGAGTTGTGCAATTAAATCAGTTCTAGTGGTCCTGTCCCCCTCCCACCTTCATTATTCCTGAAATCCCCTTTCCCTCCCTATCACCTCCCCCCCCAACCCCCTGCATCCTTTATAAACCCTTGTATCAGTTATTGTCACTATGATCCACTGCCCCTGTGCTTCACAAACTGGGACACCCAACAGAAACAATAATAAACAAAACAGAAATAAGGTGGCAAGGATAAAATAATAATATAAAAACAAAAATACAAATAATGAGTAAGAAAGAAGACCCCCATCAACATTAAAAAATCCAGGGAAGAAACTGCTGTCATGGAGCTAATAAGAGATACTTGTACCCAGGACAAATTTAGGTCAGGTCTATATAGGGATGTCAACTGACCTAGTATGGAGTTTGATCCAGCATAATCAAGAATACAATGGCCTCTGTAATGGCTAGAATGGATCTTCCAATGGCTCAGTCTAACTAGATACTCTGCAGATCGGTTTGGGGCTCCCACTGTCTCCTCCAAAGCCTTCAATTTTGTTCTGATACTTTTCCTTTTGCCATATTCTAATGTTGAAATTGTCATCTTTGGATCACACAAGCTGGTGTGCTTCTTCCATGTGGACTTAGTTGGCTCCTCACTTAGATGGCCAATTGTTC